CCTCCTCCTCCTCCTCCTCCTCCTCCTCCTCCTCCATCTCCTCCTCCTACTCTCGAACAACTTGGGCCCAAGATTTGGGCCCATCCCGTTTGGCTTCCGAGGAGCGCTTGAGGGACTTTGTCCGTTCTACACTGCCAGAATAGAACGTAGATCGACGAACGCACGGGATTGCAATGGCTGCGGAGCAGAAGCGTTGGACCCGCTGTGACAGTTGCAACAGGTGTGAGTGGAACACGATTTTGCGTCGCCAGAACCTTATCTGCAGTGGATGCAAATTCAAAGTCAAGCTGTTCCGCCCGAGGAGACGTGTTCAGTTCGACGAGAGTCAGGACGAAGACGGCTTCTACGACGCGGACAGCGGCAACGAATCATAATCAGTTCCAGGTCAACCACTTCCAGCAGGCATACTGCGGCGGGCGTCCTCTCCGAACCGCGCTGGCGGCAAGGGCTCCAAGGACGGCGGCGGAGTGCAGTACCACCTCCGCCAGGCGCTGGCGGCGGTCACCGACCCCGCTGTGAAGAAGGACCTTGAGATGCAGATCACCAAGCTCAGCCAGGCGGCCGACAAGGAGCCAGAGCTGGCCGTGGTCGAGGCGCTGCGCCGCGCCGACGGCGCCAAGCGCAACGCTGAGCACATACATGAACAAGCAGTTTCGGCAGTACTTCGCATACGCAGCAACCTGGCGGCTGCTGAGGCGAAGGAAGCTACGGCCGCCATCAACCTGGCGAAGGCTGTGGACGCCCGCAAAGTGGCTGCTCTAGCGGTCACAGAGGCAGAGAGGGAAGCAATTGGCGGAGCAACTGAAACCACCCCAGTTGCAACTGGGACTGCCCCGGTGGCGCAGAGGCCGGCGGAGCAACTGAGAAGGGTGGGCGGAGCAACTGGGCCAGCAACTGACCCAGACTGCCCCACACTGCCCCAACTGCCCCAGACTGCCCTGCCTCAGACTGCCCAAGACTGCCTCAGAGTGCCCCACACTGCCCCAGACTGCCCCAACTGCCCCACACTGCCATCCTTGCCCCAGACTGCCCCAGACTGCCCCAACAGCCCCACACTGCCCCAAGTGTCGCAGATTGCCGCAGACTGCCCCGGGACTGCCCCAACTGCCCCAACTGCCCCAGACTGCCCCAACTGCCCCAGACTGCCCCAGACTGCCCCAACTGCCCCAGACTGCCCCAAGTGCCCCAGTGTGCCCCAACTGCCCCAACTGCCCCAGACTGCCCCAGACTGTCCCAGACTGCCCCAGACTGCCCCAGACTGCCCAAATTGCCCTAACTGCCCCAGACTGCCCCAGACTGTCCCAGACTGCCCCAGACTGCCCCAACTGCCCCAACTGCCAAGGGGGCCGGAGGCGGGCGGAGCAACTGAGGACGGATGGGCGGGAGAAAACGGCGGCCAGCAACTGAACCAACTGCCCCAGACTGCCCCAACTTGCCCAGACTGCCCCCAACTGCCCCAGACGCCCCAAACTGCCCAGGCTCCAACAGGACTGCCCCAGACTGCCCCAAACTGCCCCAACTGCCCCAGACCGCCCCAACTGCCCCAGACTGCCCCAAGCTGCCCCAACTGCCCCAGACTGCCCCAGACTGCCCCAACTGCCCCAGACTGCCCCGACTGCCCCAGACTACCCCAGAGTGCCCCAGCGGCCCCAGACTGCCCCAACTGCCCCAGACTGCCCCAACTGGTCCAGATTGCCCCGACTGCTTCAGACTGCCCAGACTGCCCCAGACTGCCCAAACTGCCCCAACTGCCCCAGAATGCCCCAACTGCCCCAGACTGCCCCAGCTGCCCCAAACTGCCCCAACTGACCCAAACTGCCCCAACTGCCCCAGCTGCCCAAACTGCCCCAGAATGCCCCAGACTGCCCCAACTGCCCCAGACTGCCCCAGGCCCCAGCTGCCCCAGCCCCACTGCCCCAGACTGCCCTGCTGCCCCAACTGCCCCAACTGCTGAGATTGCCCACAACTGCTTCTGGCTGATTCAACTGCGCAGACTGCCCCAGACTGCCCCAGAGTGCCCCAACTGCCCCAGACTGCCCCAACTGACCCAGACCGCCCAACTGCCCCAGAACTGCCCACACTGCCCCAACTGACCCAGAATGCCCCAACCTGCCCCAGACTGCCCCAGACTGCCCCAGACTGCCCCAACTGCTCCCCACTGCCCCAACGCCCCCACACAGCCCCAACTGCCGCAGACTGCCCCAGACGCCCAAACTGCCCCAGATCGCCCCAGCTGCCCCAGGCTGCCCCAGACTGGCCCAGTTGCCCCAGACTGCCCCAACTGCCCCAGACTGCCCCAACTGCCAGAGACTGCCCAGACTGCCCCAACTGCCTCAGACTGCCCCAGACTGTCCCAGACTGCACCAGACTGCCCCAGACTGCCCCAACTGCCCAAACTGCCCCAGACTGCCCCAGACTGTCCCAGACTTCCCCAAACTGCCGCAACTGCCAAGGGGGCCGCGGGCGGGCGGAGCAACTGAGACGGGTGGGCGGAGCAACTGGGCCAGCAACTGACCCAACTGCCCCAGACTGCCCCAACTGCCCCAGTCTGCCCCACACTGCCCCAGACTGCCCCAACTGCCCCAGACTGTCCCAGACTGCCCCAGCTGCCCCAGACTGCCCCGACTGCTCCAGACTGCCCCAGAGTGCCCCAACTGCCCCAGACTGCCCCAACTGCCCCAGACTGCCCCAGACTGCCCAAGAAAGCCCCAGACTGCCCCAACTGCCCCAGACTGCCCCAACTGCCCCAGACTCCCCCAGACTGCCCCAGACTGCCCCAGACTGCCCCAGACTGCCCCAACTGCCCCAGACTGCCCCAAATTACCCCGGACCGCCCCAGCTGCCCCAGACTGCCCCGACTGCCCCAGACTGCCCCAAATGCCAGATTGCCCCAACTGCCCCAAGACTGTCCCAACTGCCCCAGACTGCCCCAACTGCCCCAGACTGCCCCAACTGCCCCAGACTGCGCCAACTGCTTCAGACTGCCTCAACTGCCCCAGACTGCCCCAGGCTGCCCCAGACTGCCCCAACTGCCCCAGACTGCTCCAACTGCCCCAGACTGCCCCAAAGCCCCAGACTGTCCCAATCTGCGCCAACTGCCCCAGACTGCCCCAACTGCCCCGGACTGCCCCAACTGCCCCAGACTGCCCCAGACTGCCCCAGACTGCCCCAAACTGTCCCAGACTGCCCCAACAGCCCCAGACTGCCCCTACTGCCCCAGCCCGCCCCAACTGCCCCAGACTGCCCCTGACTGCCCCAGACTGCCCCAGCCGGAGGCGGGCGGAGCAAGTGAGATGGGTGGGCGGAGCAACTGGGCCAGCAACTGGGCCAACTGCCCCGGACTGCCCCAGACTGCCCCAGACTGCCCAAACTGCTGCCGCAGACTGCCCCACACTGCCCCAAGACTGCCCCAGACTGCCCCAACTGCCCCAGACTGCCCCAGACTGCCCAAAACTGCCCCACACTGTCCAACTGCTTCAGGCTGCCCCAACTGCCCCAGACTGCCCCAAACAGCCCCAGACTGCCCCGACCGCCCCAGACTGCCCCAAACTGCCCCAGACTGCCCCAACTGCCGTAGACTGCCCAAAACTGCCCCAGACTGTCCAACTGCTTCAGACTGCCCCATTTGCCCCAACCTGCCCCCGACTGCCCCAACCGCCCCAGACTGCCCCGACTGCCCACAAGGGGCTCAAGAAGAAACCAAGAGGGCAGAGGGTCCCACGAGAATGGCGCCCAAAATGGCGGCTTTGGGTGGGGGGGGCAAGAATGCGCCAAGACGGCTCCAAGAGTGCCCCAAGAGGGTCCAAGAAGGCCCGGAGAGGCCCAAGGAAGCACTTAGATGTCACACTTGGTCTTTAGTCAAACACCTTCTAGATTGCAGACCCACAGAGTTCGTCTTAGGGCTCTTTTGGCGCCGTCATGGGGCCCTGTCGGGGCTGTCTTGGGGCCCCCAAAAAGGTCCAAGATGGGCTGTGAGGGCTCCAAGTGGGGCCCAAGGGAGCACTGAGATGACTCACTTGGTCTCTAGTCAAAAACCTTTTTGACTAGAGACCCACAGAGTTCGTCTTGGGGCTCTCTTGGAGCCCTCTCGGAGCCGTCTTGGGGCACTCTTGGGCCTGCCTGGGGCCTTGCGAGGGGTCCGAGACGGCTCCGGGAGGGGCCCCAAGAGGCGCCCTAGGAATCACTTAGATGGCTCACGTGGCCTCTAGTCAAACACCTTTTTGACTAGAGACCCACAGCATTGGTCTTGGGGCCTTCTTGGAAGCGTCTTGGGGCCCTGCTGAGGCTGTCTCGGGCCCTAACAGGGGCCCAAGAAAGCCCGAGAGGGCTCCAAGTGGGGCTCCGAGAGGACAATGCCAAGCGTCGAGACAATCCCAAGCCATCAGCATGTTCACGTTATCTTTGCTGCCGAAATCTCGCCAGGTATGGCGAGGCCTCAATCTTCTTCCATACCCGAAAACGGACTAGTCAACGAACCTTTTATCCCGAGGTACGGGAGGGGGCACACGACGAGGTTCAAACCTCGAGCCTCTAGGTTAACCTTCGGAGGGCATCTTCATCGCCACGGCTGGGCAGCACAAGAACCAGCAACACCAGCAGCAGGACCAGCAGCAGTAGCAGCACCACCACCGTCAACAGAAACAATGGCACCAGCAGCAGGACCAGCAGCAGCACCAACAGCGCAAGAACCAACAACACCATCAGCAGCACCAGCAGCAGAAGCACCACCACCACCAACAACAGCACCAGCAACAGCAACAGCACCAACAGCAGCACCCACACCGTTCGCTACCAGAGATCTCCCAATTCACCGTTGTTGCCCGCGCTGTTTCACTATGCACGTCTCTTCCGCCGTCCCGGAAGAGATCGCCCGCCGGCGCCCCTCCTCCTACTGCTCCTCCCGCCCCTCCTCATCCTCCTCCTTGCGAACGAGGCGCAGCGGCCGCCACCCTGCCGACGACCGATCGAAGACTCCTCCATCCTCCTTCTCCACCGCCGGGGACGGCCTCCACAGGCCGGGATCGAGATACAGGGGCTTCAATATACCTAATCCGATGGGCTTCAACTGGGCCGCAATACCGCCCCAGAGGCTGTCAAGACGGTCCGCGAGGGCCTCCCGAGAGGGCCCCAAGATGGCCGCCACCACGGGCCTGCAAAGGACCCTCCACCAGAGAACCCTTGAGGGGTCCACGGGAAACCGCGGGCCACGAGCAACCCCACCAGTGTTTGGTCCAGGCCTCCTCCTCCTCCTCCTCCTCCTCCTCGCCCTTCGCCGCTTGGGTTCAGTTGCTCCGCCGCTCCTCCGCTTGGTTTCAGTTGCTCCGCCGCTCGGCTTCAGTTGCTCCGCGGCCTCGGTCCGGTTGCTCCGCCGGGGTAAGCCAGGCAGAGGGTCTCGGCGGAGCCTCACAGGCGGCTGATGCTAGCGAGAAGAAGATACTCAACGTGGAGTGGGACGAGACGTCCTTCGGCAGCATCGACGGCCTCGACGCCACTCCAGAGGAGAAGGCTGCGTTGCTGACGCTCAAGCAGCAGATCCAACGGGCGCAGGCCCAGTTCCAGGAGAAGGAATCGGAGCTGCAGAAGTGGCTCACGGACATGAAGGAACATCGTCGTATCATCGAGGAGAGGGCTGCTAAGAAGCGCAAGGCGGAGAACGGCAAGAAGCAGCAGGATGGGCAGCCGACTGCCGAGGTGCCGAAGGCGAACCCAGCAGCAGGAGGAGCAGGGGCCGAGGGTCCCACTGGCCCCGCCGCGGCGACAGCGGCCAGCCAGGCGACGTCGGCTCCTGAGGGCACCACCGCCAACGCCAACGAGCAGCAGCGCATCGCGGAGGAGGCCAAGAAGTTGTCGGAGGCCATGTTCGCAGCGGCTGCCATGGCTTCCAAGGCCAAGGGCAAGGGCACTGCAGCTTCGGCCTCGGCTACTGGCGGCGACCAATCACATTGACTAGGAGTACCAGGACAGTCTCGACCCGCACAAGTCGAGGCACATGAGGAGACAGAAGATATGACCAGGGTCTTTTATGCTAGTATCACCAGTCTGTCTGACAATGGGAAGGCGTGGGAGCTTGTGGAATCCAAGTCCAAAGAGTATTCATGTTTCGCCCTGACGGAGACTCATGTTCACTTGAAGTCTGAGCTCAGGAATTTTGATAGCAAGAGTCGTCAGCTTCGACTCCGATTGCATCCCAACGCTGCACGTCATTCTGGCAAGCTAGTCGGGAAGAACAAGACGGCCCGCTCAAACGAAGGGGGTGAGTTCTTCATAGCCCAAGCACACCTCCAGGCTCTGAAGCTGGAGGAAGCTTATGTTGCGCCCAAGCATCTTCGAGACCCGCACCAAGCAGCCTTAGACGGGTTCCTCCCGATGGTGCTCAATGTTGCAGGATATTCGCTGGTATTCATCTTACTGCACGGACATCCACCTATTCAGATGCGCGGCAAGAACAGGCTACGGTTCCAGAGGATCGGAACCTTGGTCAAGGCGCTGAAGACGCCGCGGGCGCTGTGCGGGGACTTTAACATGACCCCAGACGTTCTCACCAAGGCGGGCTTCCCTCAGCAGCTGGACGCAGTCATCCGCACTGCGGACGTGGAGGGGGCCTGCAAGCAGAAGAAGGGCAAGCCAGACACCATGATCGACTACCTGGTATGCAGTCGCTCTTCTTTGCCATTCATATGTGACATCCTGCCCGTGCGAGCGGCCTCGTGGCGACCTTACATTGGTTTGGAGATACGTTTCAGAAGTTCAGGACTACTATTACAGACACGCGCGCTGAATCTTCCGAGGAAGCTTCCCCAGGCAGCGAGGCCCAAGACGGAGCCCACGCCTGACTCTAAGTCATCACGTGCCAGGCTGGAGCGAGCAGTGGCCCGAGCCTCGGCGCAGGAAAAACGTTCTCTGATGTATGAAGCATTGTTTGGGGATTGTCATCCTCGCGTCGAGCAGCCTCATGACCCCACATTTCCCGACGCGGCAGTTGTGTCTAATGAAAGGGATTGCGAGGCCGCTGACCCTGATTTGGCCCTTCTGCTCGACGAGGAAGACCCGTGGGCAGATGAGCTTAACTTCTGTTGTTTGGACCCCGCCCCTTCAACTGCTTTGGAGGCGTCTGTGGGGCTGTCGTCTTCGGGGCCGTCGGTTGGCGGTCTGTCTGGGGCCCCTGGGCTCGTCGGGGCTCCTCTCGGGGCTGCTGCCGGGCCCTCTCTTGGTGGTTCGGCCCCAAAGCAGGTGATCGAGGGCTTGGGGGAGTCTAGGCAGCGCGCGCAGTCCAGCAGCGCTAAGTCTCCGGCGCCCCAGGTCCCCGACCCCCCGCCTATCTTGGAAGACCCCCCGACCCCCCGACGCCCACTGGTAGCATGGCGTGCTCGAGATGTGCCCCTGATGTGGCGGACCCTGTCTGCTTTGCCATCCCAGACGAGGCGTGGTCCTTCGCCAGACGTGACGTAGGTTTTATGCCCAGTGATCTCGCGTGGGCTTCTGTTTCGCCACATCTCCGTTCGTCTGTAGCATTTTGGCTTAACCCTGCCGGGTGTTCTTCGGTCTCAAGCTTGTACGCTTCCTGGGCCACAGCGGCCGAGACCAGCATCCTGCCCCATCACGGTCTACGGGCTACCCCTGGGCCTTCGCGCGCAGCGGGGCCCAGTGTTTCTGTCCAGTCGTTGCGGCAGACACTACACATACGTGAGTTGCCACCTCGTGATCAAAGGAGTCAGTGGTGGACAAGAATACACACAGTGCTCAAAGGCCTCCAAGGCCACAGACAGAGAGGCAACGGTGATAAGCAGATCCAGCAGTTCATCTCGGCGCGTTTGTGTCTCCACGGGTCTCGTCCGACAGGTGCGCATTTGTTGATCAAGGCTGACAGAGATCCCGCTTGGGACCATTGGTTGGCCATCCCCCAGAACCCACTCTCTGCCACGGTCGAGAACTTCGCTTTGCATGTTGCGTCATCGCGAAATCATGGAAAGGGCCCAACGGGCCCCACTACATGAATCGCTGCAAGAGTTCAAGAATTGGGTTTCTAATGACAAATCTTCTCAAGGTATTCTCCATCAGGCTTTGAAGCCTCAGCCGCCCCCGCCACAAGAGATTATCGTGGGAGCAGAGGTTGCATTCCACCCCAAGGACCTGATGGACGTCAAGCAGAAGGAGTTCACCAGGTTGCGGGCCCGAGTGCCGATGGACAGACAGGCGGCGATCGAGACTTTTCGTGTCATTCGAGAGGACGCTGAGTTCAATGAGCTGGCGCCCATCCAAGCAGAGGACATATATATACACCACGGCGGCCAAGACGTCGGCCCGAGCGGGCCTCGGGGTGGACATGTTCACGCCCGTGGACTTCCAGAGGCTGCCGCGGGGTGCAATTTCGGAGATGGCATCTATCTTCCAGTCTATTGAATCAACACTCGCATGGCCAATTCAGTTGACGATGGTTCTTTGTCGGCTCATTCCGAAGAAAACAGACTGGAGATCGTGCCATCGGTATTCTCGCGATGGTGGCGAGACTTTGGTCGCCACTGCGTGAGCCACTGGTCAAACCATGGTCATCCCAGAATATCGCAGCATGGGACGCGGCCGTCGAGGGCAATTCCAGTTTAAGAGAGGCCTACCTCAGGGCCATCGATGAGGAGATGGCGCATTCCATGAAGATGAATTTCGGGCACGCCATCATAGACGTGCATCAGTTTTATGATTCTACCCCGCGGGGTATGCAAGCAAGAGCGGCACTCAAGATGGGGTTCCCTCCAGTCATTCTTTACTCGGAATTAGTTCAATGTGTGATGTGCAGGCGCTTCCTTCAAAATGGCGCCGCGTCAGTTCCATTTGAGCCTAGTCATAGTATAGTGCGAGGATTACGGTCAGGTACTAGATTCGCACGAACCATGACATATTTCATCATGGATACAGTGACGCCATCAAGCCCACATATGGGGCACCGAGTTTGGATAGATGATATTTCACAAACAATCACGGGATCGGCTAAGTCAGTTTGGCAAAGTCTCATGTGACTGCTGACACAGGCGAAGCTTTAGCCAGGAGGAAGCTCAAGATCTCACCGAAATCGGTTGTTATGTGTACTAAGATGGAGGACGCCACGACAGCGGCGAGGGCGGCGCGACTTTGCGGTTTCAAAGTGGCTGCTGTGAAACAGTCAACGTACCTGGGTATGGATTTCAGCTGCGGCCGTCACGGCCGCGGGCAACGCGTCAAAAGGGATGACAAGCACAAGCAGATGAGCGACAAAATCAGGAAGTTCGCGAGGGCCGCAGAGCAATATCGTCAGGTTTCTAAGTGGGAAAAAGCAGGAGCACAACCAGCTGGAGGCTACGGCTTCCAGGTGCATGGCATGTTCGGGCAACAACTCACAGAGTGTCGCAGGAGTTGTGGAGCCTCATGCGCGTCAGTTGCCAAGGGACGCTGCCTCACCAAGCTGCTCGACTTGAGGGCACGCGGCATGGATCCAGCAGTTACGGTGGCTACGAGAACGATCGACCTATAGCTCTCAATGTGGCAGTCGCATCCGAACTTGAGGAAAAGCATTGCACATGTATGGCCGTCAGTGGTCACTAGAATGCAACAACTGCCCCCTCGGGAGCAGGCACGTGCTGTTCAGGGTCCTCTCTCAGCGGTGGCCCTCCAGCTTCTGAGGCTAGGATGGGCCCCCACGTCCCCGTCAGCGTGGTCGTACATCAGCCAGCAGGGGACTGAAGAAGAATGGCAATTTCCCGACAGCTGCTACACGGGGGTCAAGGCCTTGGCCAGCCACGCGGCCTTGCTCCAGGACGTCAAGGACACAGCACACAGGCCCTTGTGGCGCAAGGCCAGCCAACACTCTTGTGGATCAGGTATTGAAGATGGTGTCAGCAACGTTTCGCTACGACAGTTGTTGGATCACCTTGCACAGCAGCGACATGGATCAAGGTTATCGGAAGTTATGTTAAATATTGCAACAGGGGGGCATGGACCAAACAGCGCAAGCGGGACACCCTACCGCGGTACCCACGCGACGGGATTTGTGATCGTTGCCGTCAACATGATGAGTCCCCCTTGCATAGATATTGGACATGTCCCAAGAATGTTGGTCCCAAGGCGCATTCGTTTTCAGATTCTTTAGTGCCAAAAGCCCTGGCGCAGTCCGACGCATGTGAGGCGTACTGGCTCCGAGGCATGCTGCCCAAACATCTGGTTGCTGTACCTCCACCTCCTGATCAACCTAGTTGGTGGCATGCAGGTGTTGATCAATTGGGACCAGGCTGTATGGGGCACGGCTTGGACCGCAGCCCCGTTTGGATATTCGGAGATGCTAGCGGAGGTCCAGACACCCACTCACCCATCATGCGCAGAGTGGGCATTGCGATCGTACGTATGACCAACCTCCGAGTTCCTGAGGCCGCTTCTTGCATCGCGGGGCCTTTGACGGACCCTAGACAAGTCGTGGCTCGAGGAGAGTTGGTTGCGTCTCTCTTGGCTATCACACATACTCGAGGATCTCTCGTGTTCGTCACGGACTGCGACTATGTAGCTGAAGGTTGGCATGCATCCAAAGCGGACAATCTTACTGGGCAGGACGCAGATGTTTGGAACCATATTGCCCAAGTTTCGAAAAGGTAGACAGCTTGCAGTTCGATTCGCTCATTCGCATTACACGGCCGAGCAGATGGCAGCAGGACTGGGATGCAGTGCTTTGATTGTCGGCAACGCTGTGGCCGACGAGCTGGCAGGATATGCGGCCACTCTGGCCAGAGATCCTGAACATGTACGAGCACGAGCGCTGCAAGAAGAACATCAGACATCTCAGATACGCATGCGGCTGCTCAGGGCAACGCTGGACAGTATGGCGGCGACGGAGGCCGCGGAGACTGAGGCCAAGAACCTGAGAGGGAAGGCTCATGCCGTCCCTCCTCCCCCTCCCCCCCCCCCTCTGCTAGTGCGGTTGCTGCGTT